ATTATATCACATACTTTCTACGAAAAAAAAGACATGGAAAATAAAACATAACATGATTTCAAAATCCGATAATTATATCTGTTAATATCGCACCAATTATGTATACAGTATAACTTTTCTTATTTAGCAAATCTTTTTTAACTATCCATTCGGGTGTTCTGAGTATTATCGGGTACTTCCAAATATCCTCCCCATTTGTTCCTGCTTATGCCGAATAACAGATACTGTAATATATTTAGTTTTCTTTTTTGATCATTACAGAATTCAAGTTGATTTTAATAAATGAATTGCCTTATTCATATCAGCTGCATTATTAACGTGAATCACATTAACGTACTACGTTTTAGAACATTTTAAATTCTTTTGTATGTTTTATTTTGTGTATGTGTGTGAGAGAGACTGTGTTTGTGGGTTTATCATTCTAAATTTACCTTTCATGCTGAAATTTATATTTTATATATTTCTTTCACTTTAAGACCACAAAATCAGAAGAATATTACCTAAGTAAGAATAAATATTCCATGAATTAAAGTTCTGAAAAATCTTTAAAAAGTTCATGAAATCCAGTAATTTCATATTATGACCACAGTTCATTTCAAAAACTCAACTCTTCTTTTTCATTCTAAGAAATATATTCGCCTCACCAAGAAATGCATAAGATATTTACAATCCGAAAGCGGTTTATGCTTTTTCACCATTACCCAGAAAAGCGTTCCTGGTAAGAAAAAATTCCTCCAAAACCAATTCTGCTTAAGCACTCGTTTCTTCGTCGGCAAAATCAACACTCACGAAATTATAAATCCCGAAGAGACATTTATTCTTATAGGTTGAATTTTGAACAGCTTTTTATCATGTTAATGAGCCCATCTTCACGCTTAAGAAAGTTTGCATAAATAATAAAATATTCTTCTCTGAAGTGTTTTTTTAATATCCCTAAGGTGGAAGCAAAAGCCACATTTTCTGCAAGTTGGAATGCTTTCAATGGATGTACATCGTAATGTGTCTGCTTATTTGTATGTAGCGAGTATTTGTATTTATAAATATATACAAACGTTCACGTGGCAAGTTTAAGATTGCTTGCAATATTAAAAAATATATAAACTTCGGTGCTGATAAGCATAGATAAACCAATATTTAATTCCCCCGATGCAAAATATTTGCGGAATGTGAATTCTTAATTTAAAACTTTCATTATTATTTAATATTTATAATACTTTAACATCTTAGGAGATTCTATTCTTTTCTCGTTTCAGTATAACTTAATTACCCCGTAGGTTTCGGAAGCATTATATGTATATCTATATATATATGTGTGTGTGTGTGTGTGTATGAATAGTGTTTATTAAATAAGTAAACCGCCCAAAAGTGATAGCGGTTAGCAACGCTGACTGCCGTACCGAAGGACTCGGGTTGGAATCCCGGAGAAGGTATGGAAGTTTATAAATATATAGGTGTGTGTGCGGCATGGAGGCACTTTAAACATGCGGCGAGCCGAAACTCCTATCGAGAGGTTAATGGTAGGCAAAGAGAGGTTTGACATCCTCGAACCGGTCCTCCGAGGTGCTCTCTGTCTAAATTGGGGGCGGAACTGAGCAAAGTCGTGCTGACAACCGGTATGGAGCTCAAGGCTCTTGCTATTGATAGGCACAATCTTGCACTCCTTCCCGCGATGAATTTCGTGGGTTTGTTCTGATGTTAATGTCAAAGAAGTCAGATAAGTCACAACAAAAACAAATAAGTGCAAAACTCTGCATATCATGTTAATTTGGAGTGGAATAATATCATAGACAATTTTCTTTCAGTTTCAAATTATTTTCTTCAATTTGAAATAGCGGATTTTATATTCTTTACCTTTGGCTTTTAAAGGAATAATGCTTAAACTAATACATTATTAAAAATAAAATTTTTGAATTTAAGCTAACCTAACCAACTTTAAATAACAGTTATGGTGACGATTTTTTAAATTGCTTCGTTACTGCTGTTTTAAAATTATGCATTATACAGCGGTTTATTTTAGTTCTCTTCGATTAACTAATTTAATCTCATTATCTTCTTATCCTGTATTGTCAAAAAATCGTATGCTGTCAAAATTTTTAAAGCTTAAATCAGTTCTGTATAGGTTTTAATTATGCCTAGGGCTTTTAAGGCGTAGGTATATAATTCATTCTATAATTTGTTTTGATAATATTTTACCTTCATAAAAACAAATAAAATACGTATATGAAGAAACCAAATGAATGAAACCAGGACCCCAAACTGTTTTAATAAAGCTCTGATTCTTTGTTAAATCCAACTCTGTATACCCCTGTCAAGTGCTGTTTACTGTCAAATGCTATGCTGCTGTCCGTACTGCTATCAAAAGAGTCGCGGTTGAGCTACGAGCTGTTAGCCTAAATTATATTAACATGAACTGGAGGTTTATGCTTTATTGTTTTGTATGACATATTTTTAGTACTTAAAATAAAACTAATGTTACACAAGCTATGCCAATCTGAACTTATCTAGTTTTGAAATCCTTGTAATATTTGAAACTCATTAAATTTATCTACCTATCATCTATATGGTTACAGAAAGTTTCACAGAAATAGCCGACATTACCAATTGAGTTACATCTTCTCTTTAGAGTTCCAAATTTCGTCAGCAATTCTGTTATCATGGCAAGCTATATTATCATCTAAAGCTAGGTGTTCGTGTCAGCATATTTTTCACTAGAACGGCTGCATGAACTACAATTAATTAAATCAATTTGTATTGAATTACACTACTCCGTGAATTTCCCAATTTCTGCTACGGACAAGCGGTCCTTAGAAGTGTCAACGGCAGTGGCTTCGTTAAAACGGATACTACCTTCCCGTGATCCTCTGCGATGGCACTCTTAATCATGTAGAGAATTCGGACAACAACTCTTTCACTTACTTAGACACGCTTCCGTTATAAAATCAATAACCATCCCTAATCAACGGCGATTCCCAAGAATTGAATTCTTGTCCCTCGGGAAGCTACAGGGTCTTTGTCTAATTTCTGTACCGGTTTCGCGTCCCTAGAGTAATCATCTCTTGGCTCTTTCCGGTTGGGATTATTAGTTAACACTTAATGAAATAAATCGATCAGGATGAAGTTTCGTTTAACTCTCGAACCCTACAGCGACTTCCAAGACTATGACGTGGATATCTTCCTAACAGAACTAATGTCTACGTTTGTGATGTAAATGTATATCTAGTACTGATTTACACGACCTGATGAGAAGTATTTCGCGATATGATTTATTCAACATTGATGCTTCATGTTGCATTAATTTGGAACCGATTAGTTAATTTTCGGTTTTCTTTTTATTTGGCTAAAATAAATGGTAAAATACAATAGAGGTTTGGGGTTGTTATGATCAGTTTGTTCTCTACCAGTGAGTCAGCAGTAGCTGTTCTTTTTTTTTGAATAAAATTAATAACAGCAGCATCAGTTCAAAGTTTGAAAATAAATGTTTCGCCAGAACATTACTGTCGATAGAAGTCTCAGTATCATATCTAGAGGTATACTTTTTAATAATATTTACCGGGTTATTTATTTACCGGGTTCTGAGATGTGAATGCCTTCTGTATTGGATGCATGTTTTCTATATTAAGGAAAAGATTTAAACTCATTAGATTCATCTAATACATATGCGCTACGAATTTTATATAGAACTATCCATGGAGGAAATACACCAAAGCTTAAAAAAGTAAAAAAGGCGCTTCTGTGTTAAATGACTTTCAGATTCATGGATCACATATATGAGAGACATACGTATTCGTACGTAGACGTATTGAAATATACTTGAAATTTCAAAACTGTCTAATTTCATAAATTATCTGCTCTTCTTCAAAATTGTTTAGTTCATTTACAGTCTTCTAAAACAATACCCTGAATTTTTTTCCCAATATATTTGGTTTCTTTTAAAATGGAGAAAATAGATATAATTTCTAGGTTTTCTAAAACTTTTCTTTGTTAGTTCAAAAGGAAACTAAAAGTAAAAAAAAAATTACTATTGCAATTATTCATATAAAACTCTGCGTTGTACTGTCCTCATTAACTATCTTTTAAATTTAAAGTCTCTACTTCATTTTATGTCAATAAAAATTATTAACTTTTGCTATTTATTTTATTAATAAAATTTTATGGTTTTATAAAGTTTCATCTTTTTTCATTTGTACAAAAATTGATTAGTAGCCCTGTTCTGCGGGAAAGATAATTTGGATCCAATGGTAATAATTCCTTGTATTACAAGAAAAAGATATGAGAAAAAAGTTTTAAAGTAAGGAATGTAATTTAAAATTTAAGCCTGCGCATATTTTAAACCTCAAGTATATTGTAATTATGGGAAAAGTCTCACTGTTTATATTTTAGCTTTAGGAAAAATCCAAAACGATTTTATTTCTGTGTACTGGGAAACAACTTGATTATTTGTTATCGTAGCTATGCACAAAGGGAAGAAATGTCGGTTAAAATAAAAATTTTAATATATATATATATATATTTCTTCAAATAACTAATGGATTTTTATCATTTACAGTAACATCTATTTAAACTAATTGTTTTCATTAAAATGATACAGAAGAATAAGTACCATGAAAGATATCCGCTGTAGATTTCAGCCATTTTCATCTTTTTATTTTTTAGAGAAATGTAACAGAAATTTTCTGCGGAATGTACTACAATACCACGATATCTCCACTACAATAACAGATAACCATAAGAGTCTAAATTGCATTCATTTTATCCAGATAATTCTCGTTACCATTAAAAGAAGTACCATTTATCGGACACTCACAACCATCTACCACCCATTCTTCTTTATGACCAACTTCCTCCCTTTCTTACACCAAACAATCTTTAATTATGTATCCCCAGGCATGCCGGATTTTTATTTATGATTTATTTTTTGTTGTGTTTGCTAATAGTTCAGATGAGTGTAGGAGGCCAAAGCTTCTTTGTTTTTCTTATTTTGATTTTTGCGCTTTTTACAGATGAGGAGTACGGGTCGGAGAAAAAAACCAAACAGTCGGACTCCGCGTCGTCCGGTGACTCGGACTTAAAAGTCGAAATCCGGACCGCTTCATCCCTGTCCAACAATGAACACGAGAGAAGCTGGGAAGAGAATAGCGACCGGGCCCAGGACCACCATTACAAATATCCCAACGACTACTCAGCTCCGGTAAGACCTTCTTCATAATGATGTCACTCAGAGCTCTCTCTCTGTCTATCTCAGAGCTCTCTCTCTTTCTCCCTCTCTCAGTCTCTCACTCTCTCCTTCCATCTGTAATAGGAATATACTGGCACTAAGATTTATGGATTTGAGGAATGTTATCCGTTTCTACAATAAATTCAAACAGCCATAAATCCTATATTCTATTGTTTAGGTATCATTAGAAGAAGAAAGCCTTTTTTCTATCATCATTAGATCGAAATAATTCTGACTGTGTACTGTAAAGAAATTATGATAGCTCACATTTCTGAAAACTGAATTTCAGAGCTTCATTGATAACTTTATTTGTTACTTCTTTACAAATGCAATATCGCAATATGTATAATACAAGGAATTGGGTATGACATGTTATATAAATGTATATAATAAAGGGTAAGTTTTTATTAAAAAAGAAATATGTGCTGTTAGCTCACCACCTTTTATCCTGTATGCATTACTGATTTTTAAATTACTTCGCCTTTATGTTTTTTTAACTAGTCAGGCATCATTCTTATTAGTCACGAAAATAAATAATAAAGTGAACTTGAAGTCGTAAATGCCCTTGAAAAAATATTAGCCTTGAAGAGCTCATCTAAAAATGCTAATAATAAAAGACTGTAGAGAAAAAAACCTCATGCTAAAAACTCAATATCGTGAAATTACATGTATATTACAGATTTGTGTAGACAACAAAGAAGACAGATGAAGCGAACATTTTTTCATCTCTTAACGTAAATCAAAATGTAAACTGCAATAATAGTTAAACAGTATTTAGTGTATACAAAATGAATCATTTCTGATTTTTTAATTAAGTAGAAGAATTTTTCTTGACAAAAACTATTGTGACGTGTATTTTTTTGAAGTAGATACTTGTTTGGTGGATTATCTGAATCTGCAATTAGAATTCAAAAATCATTTCCTCCTTATATTCCTTTAACAGATTTGAAATTTTTTTTGAGTTTTAAAGCATTGCCCACTCTTTGATCTCGAAAATATACAAATTTATAATTAATTGTTGAATAAATCGATGGAGCTACAGGAAATGAAAAATATCATCAAATTTTTAATTTTGTTTTAAATCTATGCATAATTCTTCTGCGGAGGTACGTTTATAGTTTTCCATAATGTAAAAGCATAGAAACAATAACATGACTTACTATTTCAAATCACATGTTATGGAATGCCCACAAGCACAAATTACGTAAAATAAAGTTATAATGACTATTAATGTAAATAACCACCACTACTTGACCATCATTAAATCAAGTATTAAACAGTACAAGCGATTTTGTTTTTATTTTTCATTTTCTTAAATTTATTTTTATATTCATAACAGCATATTAACGATTTTTAAACACTTCCTGTAGCAGAAATCTCAAACAGCAAGAAATATCTGCTTGTATTGTAAAAAGTATAGCTTTAATAATACAAGATTAGGCGTATAATAAAATTAATATGTATTAATTTTCAAAAATGGTATTTTATAGCATTTTTGAAAAATGTGACAAAAATGATTTAGGCAAGATTTATTTAAGAAGGATCATTAAGGTGTTCAGAATAAAATTTTTGTCTAAAATTGCATAAATTAAATTTTTTTTTCTATCTAAATTTCTACCTCTAAGTATAGTCTTCCAATTTTTGTACAGTGTGTACTTTGCTCTCTGTGCAGAAGTTTCAAAAACATATATTTTCTTACTTTAATTTCAATAGTATCGGAATAAATAAAATTATGTATTATAATCGAATAGCAATAATACTCTACGGACAGATTCAATTTAATCCTATCAAATAATACTTTTTTACACTTGTTTGTTGCATTTATTTCCTTGCTGTCACAGCTGAACAGCATAGCAATATTTCAAGAAGAAAATTTTATTTTCATATCATAACAATAGAAACATATCTTTACCTCTATATTGAGCTTGTGAAACATGCATGATAAGCAAAAACCATGCAAAACGTACAAGTGCTGAGAGTTTATTTTGCCACCCTGTCCTTTTCTTAAATGAGCTTATAACAAACAGAAGACCAGCTTCTTCTGAGAACTAAGAAATAAGAATTTCATTAACAGCAGATTGGTTTTTCTTAAAAACATTTAGCTCCTTAGTAACGTATCGGTTATTTAATATACCCAAAAGACATTCAGCTGCTCATTTGGCATTTAAATAAATTAATGTTTTCATGTATGGAAATTAATGGCATTTAAATAAATTAATGTTTTCATGTATGGAAATTAATGGCATTTAAATAAATTAATGTTTTTATGTATGGAAATTAATGGCATTTAAATAAATTAATGTTTTCATGTATGTAAATTAATTATTTTATTTCATTGTTTTAAAATATAACTAAAAATATAACTATATTTTAAAATATAACTATTTAATCCTTTTTTTCTCTCTCTTTTATTAGATATTAATGTTAATCAATTGGATATTTTATTATTTTTCCCTGGTAATACAATTAAGTAGATTACAAAATCAAAAATATGTATAAACCAAAGTTAAGTCAGTGAAAGCACTTCCATTTTGAATTCTAACTTAAAATTGCATGAGTTATCATGGTCGAAGAATAATGTTGACCGAATAATGTGAGCACAGATAATGTTCATATTTCTAAATTATTTTGCTCTACAGTACTACTAAATGTTATATTAAATATCTCCGAATCTTTGGAACTCCAAAGCATGTATTTCTGGTAGCGCCATCTATGTGCTGTGTTTAGAGTTAAACATTCTGCGTTTCTCTCAAAGCACTGTTTATCTTCTATAAGTAATTTAAATATAAATTCCTTTATTATGTCAATTATATCCAAAAAAAGTATTATTTGAATTAATTTCAAGTAAATAATTTTGTTTATATCATTCTACACATTAGCTTACTGAAACAATGATTTAAATGCAGTTTGATTTCTTAATCCATAATTTCTATTATCTATAAAATCATTTATGCCTGTACACTATTTTACAGTACATTAATATATCGTTTATAATTAAATGCATGTTCAAATGAAAGCACTCAATACTCCTCATTCCTTGTCTGTTTTAATTTACCTTTCTTTTGAAAATATTCAAAGTGTTCTGTCTTTTTAGAATTCACTGTTGGCTGTTTGCATTCTGTTAAAAAGAAGCATGTGAATTAAAGTCTAATTTCTCACTGCAAACTGAATTGTGGGCGAATCCTCACCTGGAATTTCCGTTTGTTAAAAACTTAAGTTATTTTTGTTTAAAATTTTAAGATAAAGCGGAAATATATATTCAGGTTAGCCTAAAATTTACTTATAAATAATGCCCAAATTTTTTATTAAATTATAAATTTCGAATGCATAGTGGAATATATGAGCGGAGCCACCCAGATGGGAAAGTGGTTAGTGACTGCCGTACCGAGGTCCACCAGCGGCTGAGCGGTAAAGTCGTTGGTAGTTCGATCCGAGGTTTGAATTCCGCGAACGGGCTGGCTGCATAGACGTTTTTGTGGTTTCCCCCTTGTGTAACGTGTATACGAGCCAGTTTCCCTTAGAGAGTCCTACGCGAAGGCATCCCTCCCCTATAGGCAGATAGGTCTTGAGGCTTTGCCGTGATCACATAAGCCAAGCCAAACCTGCCGTACCGAAGGGCCCGGGTTCGAATTCTGACATGGATGTAAATTTTCTGTCCGTTCATGGGAGGCAATGGTGGCCGCCTATTCGGTGAGTCCATAATAAAATTACCACCGCTGCTGGCCTCATTAGTGGCCAAAGCCTAAAGTGGTTATTGCTCTCCGAAAAAAAAAAATATTGTATATATTTGAGCGAATATGTAATAACTGCTTTCTGATAACGTTCTTGATTAGCGTTCTTGGTTCTTGATAGCGTCCCTGCCCATTTGTTGATTATAAATCAAAGTGAAAAACCTATTTACTGTTGATTACAAATCAAAATGAAGATGAAAATTTTAAAAAAGGTGGGATACTATGATACCGAGATGTTTTAAGATATTTCCGAAACGGCAGCTGAATTTGAAGCAATAAAATTTTTATTCAAACAAGCATGTTTTAAAAAACGAGAAGGAGCATTAAACCCTCTTGTTACGTACTGAAAATTCTTGAATTATTCAGGCAATTAAATGATAATGTAAAGAGGTGATTCCTCCCAGTAATACGTTGCAAATTATAATTCCAAAACCCAAGTTGCAAAACTGCAGTAGATGAACGCAAACTGCAAAGGCTGCATCATTTTTTAAAAGCAAAATATTAAAAGTGCGAAACTGAATGAGTGAATCTTGAAGAAGGAGTAACTTGAGCAACATTCAGAGTTATGAAAATATATACTTATTAATAAAATTTCAAGAGAGCGCTGTTAAATTGATGTTATTAACAAGAAAGGAGCTATGATGAAATTTTCATAAGAGAACTTCTTTCCAAAAATTAGCTGGTATTCAACTTATTTCATACTAAAGCAGCATGAGGAAATCATAATCAATACTGAATATTTAGATTACGTTTAGGTAAATATGTGATTCAATTTAAATTATTTGTCGCTTCTGCAAATTAGATTCCATCTAAGAGAAAATTCTATTACACGTTACTGGTAAAATGTGTTACCTATTCGAATATTACCTATTCGAAAAAAAGTAGAATGTTGATATCTGTTAATGAAATTACCGTTATTCAAATGAGACAGGTAAGCAATATTCGGGCTAAAAATATATCCGAGAATGATATTAAAAACGTCGTGTTAAAATGTAATTAATGTTTCTCAATAAAACGAAATGAGAGCATATTATTTTTATAGCATAGTCATAAGGTATGCTATAGTCATAAGGTACGCATCTGTGATTACTCGAGCATATTATTCATAAACTAATTCTTATACAAAGGTGAATTTAAAGCAATAAAGAGTTATTTAATTGATTGTTTTTAACTTTTCTATATCCCTAAATAAAACAGAATAACAATAAAGAAGAGCCTCGATTCTTCGAACTGAGTGGAACC